GCTTAGCCATGGCATGCTATGTCTATTAACATGCTGTATATATCCTGTGAGGACTGTCTTCTACATTCATTAAGGCAATTAATTCCCTGAAACACGCTTATGACAGGTGGGTGAGCAAATACCTATAATAACTGTCCATAGGGATCCATTCAACATGCTTAAATGAAGGGGAAATGGAGCTGGGAGTGAATTCCTCGATTCTAAAAGCTAAAATATGTCCAGATTTCTTACTCCACATTTAACGGATTCAAATACAACTGCCTGATGGAAAATTCCACCTTTCTTATGGATAGACTAAATCTTTTAATGGGCCAAGGAATGTCCAGATCAAGTTTTCGTAGAGATTTAGACAAACCAACTACGTAGATACATTCTTTACTCAATATACACTCACCGGCCACTTTATTAGGTACACCTGTCCAACTGCTCGTTAACACTTAATTTCTAAGCAGCCAATCACATGGCGGCAACTCAGTGCATTTAGGCATGTAGACATGGTCAAGACAATCTCCTGCAGTTCAAACCAAGCATCAGTATGGGGAAGAAAGTTGATTTGAGTGACTTTGAACGTGGCATGATTGTTGGTGCCAGAAGGGCTGGTCTGAGTATTTCAGAAACTGCTAATCTACTGGGATTTTCACGCACAACCATCTCTAGGGTTTACAGAGAATGGTCCGAAAAAGAAAAAACATCCAGTGAGCGGCAGTTCTGTGGGCGGAAATGCCTTGTTGATGCCAGAGGTCAGAGGAGAATGGCCAGACTGGTTCGAGCTGATAGAAGGGCAACAGTGACTGAAATAACCACTCGTTACAACCGAGGTATGCAGCAAAGCATTTGTGAAGCCACAACACGCACAACCTTGAGGCGGATGGGCTACAACAGCAGAAGACTCCACCGGGTACCACTCATCTCCACTACAAATAGGAAAAAGAGGCTACAATTTGCAAGAGCTCACCAAAATTGAACAGTTGAAGACTGGAAAAATGTTGCCTGGTCTGATGAGTCTCGATTTCTGTTGAGACATTCAGATGTTAGAGTCAGAATTTGGCGTAAACAGAATGAGAACATGGAACCATCATGCCTTGTTACCACTGTGCAGGCTGGTGGTGGTGGTGGTGGTGTAATGGTGTGGGGGATGTTTTCCTGGCACACTTTAGGCCCCTTAGTGCCAATTGGGCATCGTTTAAATGCCACGGCCTACCTGAGCATTGTTTCTGACCATGTCCATCCCTTTATGGCCACCATGTACCCATCCTCTGATGGCTACTTCCACCATGTCACAAAGCTCTAATCATTTCAAATTGGTTTCTTGAACATGACAATGAGTTCACTGTACTAAAATGGCCTCCACAGTCACCAGATCTCAACCCAATAGAGCATCTTTGGGATGTGGTGGAACGGGAGATTCGCATCATGGATGTGCAGCCGACAAATCTGCGGCAACTGTGTGATGCCATCATGTCAATATGGACCAAACTCCCTGAGGAATGCTTCCAGCACCTTGTTGAATCTATGCCACGAAGAATTGAGGCAGTTCTGAAGGCAAAAGGGGGTCCAACCCGTTACTAGCATGGGGTACCTAATAAAGTGGCCGGTGAGTGTATATTGTAATAAAATGACAGGGATTTTGCTTATGGTGATGAGTATACTGTACTTGATATTCATTATTGCAGTACTGTATGTACTGCTGCTCATACTGTTAGCTCAATCATTTATGTGGAACATACTGGAACTGGAACCTGTTGCAATGTTTGAGTGGCCTGACACTAAATCAGTTTGTCTACGCAATGGAGGACGGGAGTGTTTTAAAAACTTGTTTGAAAACGGCCATTATTTTTTGCAATTCTATTTGGTGCTAACAGTTAGTTATGCTCAGTTAGGCTCATTTAACAAGCATGAAAACATTGTTTAAACCATTTCCAATAAAGATCTGTAAAGCTTATGTGGATTTTACAAATGTATCTTTAAAAACCTGAAAAAGGGATGTTTCTTTTTTTGCTGAGTTTATATACTGTAAATAAAAAGCTGTTGCATGCAACACTATACATTTACTGTTAATTGCAACATCCGTCAGGCAAATCCATTTGCATCAACCTAATTCTCTATAGTCAGTGAATAAATGCAAACCACATGCGAGTTACTTAAAAAAGCTTTATTATTCATAAGGTAGGATTAACAACAAACATGCGTCTTACCACAATAGAAAATTGTAAGATATTGCACTGGTTTAACTGTAGAAGTTTTTTTCTTTGCCCATTTCTTTTCACTTGTGTCTGTACAAGCACACTGTCTCCTTTGGTCTTGGACAAAGCAAGACACATGGACAGTGCCCTAAATCCATACCACTGTATCACCATAATTGAGTGTCAAGTCTTAAAATACAAATAATATTTAGTCATCGTCCCATTCATCTATGCGTCATGTCTAAGGCAATGGCCATTGCACACCAAATAACTTCTTTTCATATTAAAGACACTCAGAACACTAGACTTAAAAATATTTACATTAAAGTGAACCATCTCATCTGTGCTGCCATTTGGGTCAAACACAAAGACACACAGACATAAGGAGAGGGCAGTGGTTGGATATGGAGTCTATATGGTTAAATGCAAGTCGTGTGTGTGTGTGTGTGTGCTCCAAAGGTTTTCGTTCATATAGAGCCGAGCTATACCACAGGTGAGAGGTGGCGGGTGAATTTGCTCTAGACGGTGTGTGAGATTACATTTCACTAGCGCGTGCGTGGTGGTATGTGGCTGCGGGACATTGATGGATGACCACCGCAGGCATTCTGATACCTGACTTTACCTCAACAAATAGCCCAACCATCATCATTATCCACATCACGTACACGAGAAGGCAGTTAGCGCTCACTTTCACAGGCCTCAGCAGCTCACGAGCCCAGGGGGCAGAGATGAATTTAACGTATTTTCACACATAAGAAAATTACAATGCTTTCCTTTTTTGTGAAAAGCACATATATAATGTAAAGCAGGTCATCAGAAACTACATGTAAAAAAATAAGATACTAGGAGTGAATGCAACAGTTACTTAATGTCTTCACACCCTGTAAAATCTCAAACGCAGTGCAGCCAGAAAGGAAATCACTAGTGGTCTGCTATCATCTAAGCAACAAAACGTGCCTGAACACTTGCGCTATACGACACATTATGTAGACATAATACACTAGTGTGCCATTTACAAATGTTCTCTCAAGGTTTAACACATGTAAACATTTAAGGACAGTTTCTCTGAGCCCGACAAATTTAGTTTAAATGGAGATTCAAGTTCTCTGGGTATGAGAATGTAACTTTGGAGTGGGATTGAGTTGTAATTCATCTCTTGTGGACATAATGGTTAAGGCCTTGGTCTTTTTTTAATAACAGTGTATTTATGCCTTGGCCACTAGTGTGTAAGATTGATCAGTGTTCTCTAGACGCAAGAGGGCAAACACAGTATTAAAACTGACTGCCCACAGATGCATTTCCAACTTGATCCAAATGCCATTCTCGCTACAAGTGCATTTTTGTCACTGATCATGGTGCCCAGGTTAATTAGGTTCATCAGGAATTAAGCTTCAGGCAGCAATGCGATCAACAGCTCCATTCCCTAAAGAAGCATAAATGTGCAAGACATCCATTCACATTTTATATGGACAAAACATGAATAAGGTTATAGTGTAACTGTACTGTACATACCATCATCAAGTGACTTCAATCACAATCAGTCATAAAGTCTAATTTTCCATATGGGCAGGGACAGAGTAGCACAGTAGATGTTGGAAATAGCCTAACTTTTGGAACTGACTTTCTGAGCGACGAGGCCCCTTTTATATTAGTGGCAAGTGTTGAACTTTAAACGTTGTGCATAAATATTGAGTGGTAAACTGAGCAGAAACACAATACAGATGATTGGTTTCGATTAGAAATGCAAAATGTGGTTAAAACAACTATAGTTCCACAGGTTAAGCTTTGAATACAATATGGTGTTAACACATTGTAATGTCAAGATAATATGAAAGCGTACCACTGTCCCATTCACTGGTCAAACCCCTCAAGACCCCAATCGAGTCTGGGATCTAACTGGATACTGTATTTATTGGTTTTCATATTAATTACACACAAAATAAAAAGGGTTTGTGCAAATACATCTTTGCCTGGTATATTTCAAAGAGCCGAGTCAGACAGAGCTGATATGGCAAAGACAGGACACCAATTAAAAACAAACTCCCATTGTTTAGGGCATAAAACTAACAAAGAACAGACTTTTTTTAAATATACATTATATAAGAACCCACACTCAAACATGCTCTATACATAGGAGCACACACACACACACACACACACACACACACACACACACACACACACACGCACGCACACAAGTCTGAAAAGAAAGGAAAAAAAATTAGGCAAACAAACATACAGACAGCAAATTGGTCCAAATATTAAAATGAGAGAAAATAAAATGCACGCCGAGTAAGAAATAAAATGGTCCGCTTGGAATTTTGAACAAGGACTAAACCAAACAAGATCTAAACATAATTATGTGCAAGTTACTTGCTCTTGCAGTAATGTCTTTAGCTACGATATGTAGCTTTATTGAGATGTGAATGATGGGCAAAAATCACATGATTCATTACACATAGTAATTCCAAATAATTACTAATAAAATCTTTAATTCTGATAAGAAACAGAGTAACATGTAAAGATGTAATTCATGCCATTAATGACCATCATTCTTCCACAATGTATATCCAAATTTCAGTTACCATGTACAACATTAATGATGGCAGTGCCATGGGAAAATCTCAGGTCGATTTTTATAGACAGCTGTTTGACACAACTGAAAAATGAAATGAGTGAGAAAGATGGAAAACGCAGTTTGGTTTTTCTTACATACTACACGTGTGATAAAATCAACCTGGTGTGTTTGTAAAAATTGCTCGGGATACGCTACTCTTATTGCTGCTATGTGTCTTCCTTCAATGATGAACAGGCAGAAAGGCACAACTATACCTACTACAACAGAATATTCTTAAAGTAATATGAAGAGGTAATACACTGTGAGTGGATAGGGTTTCTGGCTCTCAGGGTGCAGAACCACACATTTTTCCCAAGTTTTCTAGGTGCTGAGAAAAATACTTAAAAAAGAGGAACAAGAAAATCAAAACAATTGCACAACCTCACAATTATTTTGTGAATGGCAGAGCATAAAACTCTCTGAAATTAAGCTTTTGGGCTCATCTGTAAACACCTCTATCTCTCCCTTTGTCTTATCTTTCCAGAATCTTTTTACAAGGATACTGACGTTAAACAGGACAACCACTTTGTGTTAAAATGTCTGTTAATAGGCAAGTTAAATTAAAGCTGGAGAAAATGGGTCTTTATGCAGGGCTGCTACGTTGTCTTGTTAGATTTATCTCGTGAAGTAGTGGAATTGGGCTTTGCCTGGGCCCGTGATTGTGCTTCAGACCTAGGCCTTGGTGTGCTGCCACTTTGTGAAGTCCCTGGTCTTTCCTGATTCTCTTCCCCAGCTTGGGAGTTTGGAGGACCTGCCCTTTTTGAAGTCTCTTGGACCTCTAAAGACCTCTGAGAAGTTGAGGCTGGCTCAGATTTGGATAATGTTTGTTTAGAGGGAGATTCAGTCAGCCTTGGAGACTGGGAGCCAGAAGCAGCAGAGGGACTCAAGCGGTCAGGAGAATCAGGACGCTCCAGACGACATTCTTTTATCTTTGGGTGGTTGGCATCTACCTGGGGACGCTGGTCCTTTGTCCGCTCTGAGGCCTCTTTAGTACCTCCGATGTTGAGTTTGACAGGGCCAAGTACACTCTTAGCAACAGTGGCCAGTTGAGACACAACTTTGTCCATTCCGCTCTCAGAGGCAGTGGATGCAGAGGCGGTAGCAGCAGCAGTGGCTGCAGCCTGTCTGCGGTTGTCGGCCTCCTTCATCTCCTTAGTGATGCCTCCGGTTGGTGTGGTAGCAACAGGAGTATCCCAGGCTACTCCAGAAGCAGTGCTAGAATCCATTCTACCACTGGTTTTGGACCTGGGCTCAGAAGTTTTGAAGGTCCTCCGGGGATCCAATGGAGGTGTGGTAGGTTTGACAAAGGGGTCTTTGCTGACAGAGGTAAAGGCGCTGCCGTGGGTGGAAAAGGTGCTGGACAGAGGGCTGGGTTGAAGTGGAGAAGGCCTAACACAACAGTCCTGTGCCTTTGACTCTTTCTTTATCGAGTCATCCGCTAGCGTTGAATTGGAGTCTTGGGCCATAGCAGAGGTTGTGGGATTCTGTTCTGGGGGCTTGGCTGCAGCTTGCATTGGCGGTGAGGTTGAAGTTTGTGTCTGAGATTGAGTGGTACTTTGGCTTTGTATCTGCAGTCCTTGACCAGGCTGAGGTGAGCCTGGTGGTGCAACTGTTGAGGGCATCAATCCCAGTGTTGGTGGAGCTGCTGGTCCAATCCTGATGGTATGGGGGGAGGCCATTGCAGTAGTAGGCCTCAAGATATGGCTAGGAGGAACGTAGCTTGTCCTGCGTCCATCTTGGCTGTCTTCTGACCCTTCGTCTGTCTCATCCTCTGAGGAATCCACCTCGTGGATGGCATCTTGCTTTTGAAGAGACTCGCGGCGCTCAGCACGATCCTGGCGTATAGCAGACAGCTTGTCTTTCAGTTTACTCTTCCCAGGAACAAGTCCCAGAGTTCCAGTTCCAGATTCAGGACCTTCTTGCCGACCCAGTTTTCGAACTGAACTCTTCTGCAGGCTGCCCTTTTCTGCAGGAGACACTCTTCCTCCCATTAGAGTCTCACTGGCTGATTCCTGCAGGCTCTGTAGACTAGGGTCTCGCTGTAGCATCTCCTTTTTAAACTCTGAATGTGAAGTATCAAGACTGTGTTTGCGGCTGGCCCCAACTGGCAGTTTTTTATCAGTAGCAGAGGAAGGAGAAGGTGAAGAGGATGAAGAAGAAAGAGAAGCTGCAAGTTTCTCAGCCGACTGGACACGTTTGAGCAGAGGGGAGCGAGGAGGATCCGCACTCTTAGGGCGGGATATCTGTCTTACTAAGGGAGGCGAAGAGTGGAGTTTGACAGGGAAAGACTGGCCAATTGAAGAAGTGAGAAGTGCGTGGCTTGGAAGAGGTGAAGGAGAACGCTGCGGGGAGGTGTTCTGAGGGGTGGGCGACGGTGTACGAGCCAGAGGGGATAAGGGGATGTTGCCTGCGGACTTCCGGCGGGGGGAGCGGTACTGGCGCTGCAGTTTGGGGGCTAGACCATGCAAAGAGCTCGGTCTGATCTGACCAGAACTGGCAGGAGAGTTTGGCACACTGGAGCTAGGTGAGCTACTTTGGGATGAGTTCCCACCAACTGCATTAGAGAAAGAGAGGGTTTAAGGTTACAGATTAACTATTAACAAAACAAATATGGAGATGAATTAAATTATTTTAGAAATGATATTGATGATGTCATGGGGAACTAATACACAATATTTTAAGATGCTGCAATGTAAAATTAAATGAGAATATTATCTGGCATGGCGGTATGTGTATCAAAATTGCAATGACAGTAGTAGGTCTGTATGATGTAGTGCTGCACGATTAATCATATCGCAATCGTAATCGCGATGTCAAGCCTATGCGATAATATATGACGCAAAATGCTGCGATTTTATGTAAAATAAACTAATTAGGGCTGTTAACCCAATTAACGCAGCATCTGTTATTTTTTTGTCATCCTTTGGCTAGTGTTACATGATCCCGCTCTTATTCGTGCGAATGCTTTAAAGTTCAAACCATTAATGCGCGACAAGTCAAAAGAGAGCGCGCTGCCTGTGAATGTCCGACTGTGACTCACAGAAAAATGCGCGCCCATGCGTATGCACAGACCGGAATAGTTATCTTTCTGCTTGAACGAACAATAACACACACAATTCTGCCAAAATGTCGTTTGTCGAGTATCTTCATAACATAAGAGCAGTCTTATGATGGACGTAAAGAGTTGTGAGAGAATGAGGCGCGTGTGAGATCCGCGTCTCGTCTACAACGGCTGCTCTTAAAGGGCCAGCAGCCAAAGCTTTCTGTCAGTAAAGTTAATCAAAGAACAAAGAAAATTACTCACTGCTCTTGACTAAAGAACTTGTGTAGCTTTAATAAGGATTAGTCTATATATAATTTATGCAGTTTGATAACTTCAATTTCTGTATATGTCCTACCTGACAGGAAGGGCACAGGTAAATAATACTTTTTTTATGGGTTTATGTTATATTTTTTTGAAGCCTAATAAATGTTTTTGAAAAAATTATAGCTTTCAATTGTGGAATCACTGTAATGGTGGATGGCTATAATTAATGTTTTAAATGGGGGTGGATTAATTTTTATCCAGACCTCAATGGCTTATTGATCATTATAGATGTTATCAATCATTTAGTTGTTGTTGCTAGTTTGAGTTGAGAAATACACATTTCAGAATTATCACTAATCTGTGTGTGCATTTTGCTTTAGAATCAAGCAAGTTGACTCATGAAACCATTTGTTTATTATATCGCAATCGCATATCGCAATCTTGACCTCAATAATCGCAATATGACATTTTCCCCAAATCGTGCAGCCCTAGTATGATGTATGTAATATTTGAATACTGTTTGCTATCTTCATTACAGTATGTACATAAAGATAAAGGCTTTACCTGAGTGGGCAGAGTCGGGTGTGGAACGACAGCCCTGTGTGGGTGAACGAGGGGACATGTGAGTGGGAGACCCCGGGACACTGTCGCCAGACGAGACCGAGCGGTTCAGAGAGGACAAACTGCGACTGGTGTGGAGAAGAGTAGCCTGCTTGGTGATCTTACGGAACAGGGAGTTTTTCTTCTTACTGTAATGGATAACCATATACAAACCATAACTGGGACAGTAAATGAAAGCCTGAGGAATTTAAATCAGTGGGACGGAAGTATTTGGAGGATGGTAAATGTTATACATCACCTGTCTTGTCCTTCTCTGGTTTTAGTTCTTTTGTTGCGGCGGGCCATTTTGGACTTGTAGCTGGTTTTGCGTGCAGGGCCAACCTTAATAGATGTATTCTCAAAAGGCGTAGCAGAGATGGACACCTTACTACCACTCTGCAAAAAAAATTAAAATATTCTGAATACCAATAAATTCAAAAGCAACAAGGCTCATCAGATTATGGCTGCCAATGTACCTTGAGAATGAGCTCTACAACTTCTGTGTGCACAAGTCCATGGACAGGCTCTCCATTAACATGTGTAATAAGATCTCCCTCTCTCAGTCCAGCCTCATGAGCAGGTCCTCCATCCTCCACGTGCTGCAAATAAATATGTTAGAGCACTCAAAACCACAAATTGGTGCGGTCTAACTCCATCATAGAGAATAATTGTAACTGCCGTACTCACCCAGACCATGTGGTGCACAGTATAAATGTCTGTGTCTCCCATGTAAACCCTGATGGCACGCAGGGTAAAACCATATTTCTTGCCGGCTCTGTGAATGACTATGGCGGGTTTAACACTGCAGACAGCTGGGGACAGGTCTCGGCTGGGAGAGGAGTCACGTGATGAGGGGTTGGACGAAAGAGAGTGAGGGGACATGGGACTGGCAAGAGGAGAGGCACCATGGTGATCTGAAAGAGAAGAAAAAAAGAATTTGAACATTAGTTAAAGTGTGATAGCCACACACATTTCTTCTAAATGATAGGAGACAGCCAATCCAATCAAAAGATTGTGATTTTGACTAGTAGGACATGTTCCATGTTGGTGTAAGCAAAAGGGTTATGATTGTCAGCCTATCATCATATATCATCATGTTTGTTCTAGGGATGTCGATTTAACGTGTTAATTTAATTAATTTGTTATGGGAAAAATAACGTGCTAATATTATTAATGCATTTAACGCACCTGCCCTGCATAGTTTTATACAGTTGATTGGTGATGAACATGATGCAGGGCAACAACTCACAGTGTGATGTAGCCTATAGAATGCAGGTAATGCCCCCAAAATTCAAGATATCAAGGCAAAAATACCCCTGTATAAGTTTTGTCTCATATTTATATCATGATATGGTTTAGCAATATGACACAAATGCTGTTTTTGTCACGAATAGCACAAGTGCAAATGTGATGTTGATTTTATACACCAGTTATATCAAATAAATATTTAATATTGTGTTATATTTTAGACAATATTGTCTGCTTTTGCTCAATTTTGCCAACAAAATATTACCTATAAAGCCAGAGCAGAACTGTTGTGGGTCCTTGAGCAAAACACAGAATTGTTTTGTTTCTGAATTATGTTTTAAGCAAATCAATCGGGTAAACCAATGATTCAATGGCCCATTCATAAAGAGAGCCATTTACTTAATTCCTGAATGAATCAGCTGTTTGAACGAATCGAATGAATGACTCAATGACTTACTCATTTAGACATTTACCGCAACATACTGGCAGTTTTAGTTTCTTTAGGGTATAATTTCACTAAAATGTTTTTTTTTTCATACTTCCATATTAATAAAAACCCATTAAAGAAAATTATGTCAATTTACTCACCCTTACATCCGTTGAAGCCTAAAAGGTTATGTGTGATAAATTCTATGTTGAATCAAATCAAATATTTTTTTTTTTTTTGTATCTACTATTTGTAATGTCTATTTGATGCTTTTCTCATTTAACACAATAATGGCTTTATCTTTTGGGGGTAATTTTTTTAGCCAAAATTGATCTGCGATTAATTAGATTAAAATTATTAATAGCTTGACAGCCCTAGTTTGTTCAAGGACCAACAAAATAGGGGTGTCACGATTCTCCAAATCCTCGATTCGATTAAATTTTCGATTCTAAGGTCACGGTTCGATTCGATTCTCTATTTTTACATTTATTTTTTTAAAGCCGAAACCGGCCAATCAGGATGCTCTCTGTCTTATGATGAGGCACATACGCAAGATCTCTCGCTCTCTCCCGTGCACGCGCTATACGGTTTGGAGCACAGTTTTTTCCGTCTCGCATGCGCGTTTGCGCGCTCTTGCTCGCTCGCTCACTCTAGATTCCGGGAGATTAACTAATTTGCGGGCATCAGGGAGCCGCTATCAATATGCGGGAGACTCCAGGAACTTCCGAGACTTGGGATGTCTGCAAAGTAAACTGTGGCTTTTTTGAAGCGCGAACGTTGTCAACATAACTCACTGGAAATCCAAAAAACGTACACACCTGCGACTTCAATGAAAGAGGAGGGGGTTCAAGTTCTGTCGATGGGTCTCCTGCATCTGCAGTTGCCATGCTATCTTTTGAATGGCTGTAGCTAAGTTAGAGGAGGTTGACCATAGACTCGCAGCTTTTCAACACGTGTTCTTTTTCCGCTTGGCACGCCGACCGGACGTGACATGGGGGCGTGGCAGCATCGACGATTCCATTTTTTAATTCGATCATTCGAATTTTTTTTAATTTCGATCGATTACGATTTAAGATCGAAATCGTGACACCCTTACAACAAAAGACGTTGAGCTAGAGAAGTCATGCATGGCAAAATCATATGACCAATCATATGCACTTACCAGAAGGAATCATTAGTGAGAGGGTAGTTGCTGAGGCTGATTTGATGACTTTGTTAAGTGGACGTGATGCGTGTTTCTCTGTATCTCCTGATAGCAGTCTGTGGCGAGCTCTTCGAGCCGCCAAATCACTGATGGCTTTAGGAGTGGAGTTTTCATAACTTTCAGCACTGTAGCGAGAAGCTCGATCCAACACATCAGCAGAACTACCAGCTGAAATCACACGCATGGACATAAATTAAAAATGAGAGATGTCAGAGATATGTATACAGAAAATGGCAAACTATCAGAATGATTGAATATGGTGTTACTTGAAATCATAAACCCCAGTCATTTTTTGCACCTTTTTATGAGACATTTTTACGCCTCATTAAATCTTTGACTTGTCTTGAAAATCTTTTGAACATTTTTTTTTTTTTTGCTAAAGCTAGAACAGATACTCCCCAGAGTAATTAATAAAGACTGACGTGTGAGAGTGGATTGGCTGATCTGGCTGGAAGTGGAGCCTGGTGTGGTGGGTGATTCATCCAGCCTGAGCTCTCTCTCCACAGGGAGCTCTGGTATGGCCTGAGGCAGATCTTCCACACGAGGGCCCCTCACAGGGGTCTTCCTGCCCCCCACACCGCCATCCTCTTCACTGGAAATGGCAAATCGAGGCATTTCGATGATAGCTGAGCAGCAGCGGCGACGTACAGTCAGAGGTGGGCTGGAATCACTCTCAGTGTGAGATGACTCGGAAACAGAGAGACGCTTCCTTAAGCTGCATAAAAAAACAAACATGTTTATGACACAATGTTGGACAAATAGGTTTTGTTATTTATTCATCAGATTGATTTGAGGTGTTTCACTCACATCTCGGGCGAGCCAACCAGCCAGCTCCGGTCTCTAGACTTTAGGCCACTGAGACTGTCGATCCGCTCTCCTCCTTCTTCACTCAGACTGCGCTTAGTGGGAGGAGGGGTGCGCTTCTCCTCATGCAAGGAAAGACGCTCCATACTACTATATACCTGAGAGAGGGAGATCGATTGGGAGAGATGAAGACAGATGAAGTTAAAAAAGGAAGAAAAGAGAAACAGAAGCAACACTGAACTTTGAAAACAGTATAAACTGTTAAAGGCATTAGACTGAACTTATAATTAAGCAGAACAGATACCAAAACTAGATTATGATTACACAAGCCAAAAGTTGTTGTATAGCAGATACAAAAACTGTAAACTGTGCTGGCAACCACAAACAGTCCACATTTAATAAAGGTAATGAAGAATTTCAGTTGTCCTCTACAGGTTATTATTAAGTGACTGAAATGGCGCCCCTATCACAGTACTAAAATGATTAAAGTGCAAAATAATGTTTCTTTCCCTGCTGTCCCATTTTTCATCATATGCCCTATATTCCACCCTGCTTTTAAAGTACCTTACTTAGCAGAATAATTGTTTATTTTGATTATTATTAATGAATAAACTATTAATTGAACACCTTATATCATTTTGTAAAGAGTGTTAGCATGTGTTACTTCACACCTTGCTAAATCGTGGTGAACAGGAGGAGAACTGACGGATCTCCAGATGGTCATCATCATTAGTGTCATCCTCTTCCTCCGAGTCTACATGATGATACCGATCTGAGCGTGCTAGAGGGTTAAAGAAAGAGATCAGGTATGGAAGAGAGTAAAGTATCTTGTTATAAATTTCACTCCATTCCCTGCTGCCTGAAGACGTACTGTCAAAGTAGCTAGTGTCATCCTCCGACTCCAGCTGAGGAATGAACTCAGCCTTCTGCCTCAGGAGACTGTTCCAGTCCAGATCAGTAAAAAAGCGGTGCTGTTTCACCTCAAACGCACTCCCTGTGAGACAGAGAGAGAGAGAGAGAAGATCTCTTCAAATATTTCTCAGAGAACAGAGATGTGGGATTCTTCTCAAGATTTTCTGCTCAGGTTTATTCATACACTATTAATCTCAGCACATCAGTCAAGTCACTCCTCTAAGACTAAACCAGGGAATAGATTAAGGAGAAGTCAGTCTGTGTAAGTGTGAGTTTGTGCGCTAGAACACCTGTCCCCAGACGCTCCAGAGGGTTTTGCCGCAGTAGTTTGGAGATGAGATCTTGAGCCTCAGGAGGCAAAGCTTCATCACCTTCTGGCCAGATTATCTCATCTATTGAACCAAACATACAGAAATCGTCAACAACACAATTAGGTTCACAGGTCAGATTTCAAATAAAACAGACTGATTTAAGGAGTGTGTGAAGTTTTATTTTTCAAAATTAACTATTTGCTGGCTAGAGAAAAGTAATATTAAAACTGATAATTGATATCACATGCCATACCAGTCAAAAGTTTGGAAACTCACGACTGTATAATGTATGTAATGTTTCTCATGATTAAATATTTTTTTGAACTTTCTTCTAGATACGACACTAACCACTGATGACTTGTCCAAACAGTTCCTCGGGTGTATCCCCAAAGAAGGGAGCACAGCCCACAAGAAACTCGTACAAGATGACTCCCATGGCCCACCAGTCCACTGGTTTACCATAGCCCTGCCTCAGAATGACCTCAGGAGCAATGTATTCAGGAGTACCACACACCTGAGAAAGAAAGAGTTTTGAGAACTGCAATTCCTTTTATATATATAAATAAAAAACAGAAACAACGCGACAAATTATAGTCCCAGAGGACACTTGTACCTGTTTATCAAGGAATTCACGGGCATCTTTTTCAATGTGGCCCTCGTATAGATTGGTTGTTAAGCTCATTAAACCAATTTTGGACAGGCCGAAGTCTGTCAATTTGACGTGTCCCATTGAAGTAATCAGGAGACTGTAGAAAAACAGGAAAAAAAATTATTCTGACATCAATGAATGTGAAAGTCCATCCATCCATCCATCCATCCATCCATCCATCCATCTAAAACAAATGCTGTCTAAACCAAAGCCAACTGATCTGTTACAGCCTAAGCAAGCAAGCAAGCATGCTAAACAAACATGTTTTTATATTCTCTGAGTTAGATGGAATCTATAGAATATAAACAACCCTGAAGGAGGTCTTTGACTGAATCATAGTGATAGCTTCAATAGTGTGTGAGATGTTTAATTTTTTCCCCAATTAAATTAAGAATAGAAAGTCAACTACAAACAGGGTGGTTTGGTGTTGCATTTTCTCACTTGTCAGGTTTGAGGTCTCTGTGCACAATGCCATAGTTGTGAAGGTATTCCAGTGCTAGAACGGTCTCAGCAAAGTACATACGTGCCATGTCCACAGGCAGAGCTCCAATGTGCTTCAGCAAAGTGGCACAGTCCCCACCTGTAGACACACAAACAGTTTCAACTACAGCATCACTCTGGGGTGTATCTCATATTGAAGTCATCCATGAACATAGTCACCCTCCACAAAGATGTTGTACGAGTATTTCTTACCCTCCACATACTCCATAACCATGCAAAGATGTCTCCTTGTCTCAAAGGAGCAGAACATGCTGACAACAAAAGGGTTCTCTGCAAATGTCAGGATGTCTCTTTCCACAAAGGCCTGCTGGATCTGGTTTCTCAGGATCAGGTTCTGCTTGTTGATCTTCTTCATGGCAAATCGCTGACGGGTCTCCTTATGCCTCACCAAAAACACAGCCCTGAGTGGAGAGAGGCATGCATCACTTCTAACTGCCTCCTTACCCTACGACTATTAAAGAGATGACATTCTAAAAGTGTAACACCTTAGCATTTATAATCCTTTCTGTAGCTGTGAAATTAAACTCTTACCCATAGGCTCCATTACTGATGAGTTTAATGGTCTCAAAGTCTTCCTCACGAGGAGTTTTAGTTTTTGACTGAGGCTGAAGCTGGTGTGGCTGTACAGTGGCTCCTCGACTCTGCATATAAATACAAGCATTTGGTCTTAGTTGAATGCTAGTATACAGAGTCGATAGAGTTATTGAATATATTTCTATTTTATTACTCACATCTGTGGAATCTGTCTCTGTCTCTGGGGTTTCAGGGTTACCACTGTCATAGCTACTCAGCTGGGCCATTTCTAGAGAGTGAAGAGTGAGAGTGAAAAGGAGGAATGAAACGGAAAAGGTGTCATTAAAAACATGTTATTGTTATTTTAAATGTTATTGTAGCTCCTGATAAAAGACTGCAAAACCACAAACATCAGATTTGCTTCATAAAGCCACCAAAAAGCATTTGAACACTTACGCCACACTTGACAATATATGAATGACAATTCATTAGACAACAAATTATCATTTGTTTCTGAAGATGTTACAATGTCTTTTTTGGGGGGGGGGGGGGGGGTCTCATAACATTTTTAAGTGTAGCTTAGTGTTCAAATGCTTTTAGGGTGACTGTATGTAGCATTCTTACCCTCAAGGGGGTCCCTAGTGAGGCCCAGCTGGCTGATGATGTACCGAGGGATGTCAGACTTGATGCCTTGACCTTCTTTAGCATGACCTTCAGCAGCCTCTAACAGGTGGTAGAACTCCTCTGGGTTAAACTCCTAAACACATACACAGGAAGAAATAGGTTCACATAATATGAACATTAAAATCTGACAAAAACTAAGTCCCACTCAATCCTCAATCATTATATTTATTCTAGAGATCTGGAGTAGATCGAATATCAAATACTTCAGGACAATCATTTCAAATGATGATGAACTTATTACTGTAATAACACTTTATTTATTATTTATTAATAACAGTCAAATATCTATAATGACCATATATATATATATATATATCTTTTTTTCTACATAAACGTTTTGGACAAAAATGTCTTCTTATTCAGGGATATTCACACAAAAAAATGAAACAATGTTACATATACAGTGTGTTAACAAACCATCATTTTAAAATTAAAGAATGTAAGGAAAATAAGAGCCAAATTAAGTGCCAAAATCAATGTCATTTATGTAAGGAACAGTTTAGATATTTTGTGTGTGTGTGTGTGTCTGTGTTTATTCAGGCAGGTTTGTCTCCAGGTGTCAAACTGAGGTATTTGGATGCATTGTGCGCACATGAAGCAGAACAGGTTAACAGCTCATTTACTCTCTCAGCTGCTGGTCCTCCATCAGTGCTGAGCTGTACTGTATGTTGTCATACTACTGAATGCACCAGATTACTCAAAATACACATGTGACCACAACCATGCAGCTCCGTGTGGAAGTCAAAGGAGCTTTTATGTTTGCATGTGTGCAGTTTTGCGCACTGTAAACTATGACATGGTTTTATAATGCACTGCAGTCTGCCATGATTCTTCAAACAAAACAATGAAAGTCACACATCATTGTGCATTTTGAAGCTTTGTAGTTTGGTCTTTATTCACAAAGTAAATTTTAATGAACTATACGGTACTGAGCATGTGCTTCATTAGTTATGGAAAAGCAGTTTGCGCTGAAGCCTCGCTAAAACTTATCTCAAAGATTCCTGATTAGAATCCTTTCAAATATCAGTGCTTACCAAACACTCCAGCAGACGGGCGGGCCGGGCGATGACTATCATCAGTTTCTTTACCAGCTGGGTGACAAACGTCACCTCCCCACTTTCTGAACGCTCATGAGCCTAGCAATAGACAGAGAAGACAATAGTTTTGGAATAGCATACTAGCACACTATTCAGTTTACAGCATGTATACTGTGTGTACTGCATGACTGGAACACCTTGTAAATCTGTCAAAATTAGCAGTATGCAAATTACAGAACACAATGCAATGTTAAAATTGACCTTCCATTTCCACTGAGACAATTAAACCAGAAGCGATATCAATCACTCAGTACTAGAATAAAAGATAGTTGAATGAAGAGTACAGAGAGAGTGCATAAAAAGTAAGAGCGTAAAAGGAGCAGAAGCAGGAGAGTTCATCAATTGGGTAGAGAATAGCTGTTTAGAGTCGATGGTTAAACAGTCGGCTGATGGTAATAGAGCCATCTCTGACAGACAGCACAGTCACCTCAGGGGATGTCTAATCAACCTCTGAATTATTTATACAGGTAATGAAACCGCCAGTGAATCACACACACTCAGGATAATAAAGGGTCTCTGCACTGAGTAAATACACTATAGAGTGTCAGAAGTAACAGAAGTGAGAGCTGTAGGATGAGGGAGGGATTTGGTTTAGCACACCCTAAACTAGATGAAAGTAGATGCTCTATACTCGGCTATACATAAGGTCAATAGAAGATTCCCAGGATTCCTTTAGGGCCAGACGTCATGGTGACAGCCAGGTCACTAAAGCGACCCTAACTTGAGATTGGCTCCTGTGGTTTTTAATGATGCAACCATGGGAGACTGAATGTTATATAGACGGATCATTTAAAAAGGTACAACTAGTCTGACCTTAAGACAAATGTCCAGTTAAATAAATAAAGCCTATTGCTGAGGACAAAGAAGAGAAGGCATTTGAAAAAATTCAGGTCAATAGTCCAAGAACACAAAAAAAAGAAGAAGACAAAAACGAGAAGATGAATGAATAAAACTGTTACTATAACATCTTTCAATATGAACTGGGGATGCATGATATGTATCATATCAGTTATGAGCCAATATTTTGTTGAAATGTCACTATTGGTCTATATGAGATATTAGCAAATATTTTATTGTGCACACTCATTTCATCCTATTTTCGAATTTGGATTACCTCTGCTGTCATTTAGATAATACTGATAATTATTATTTGACATTATTAAAATTTACATATCACAAAATTAACATTTGTTATATTAATATATTTATTTCTTGTATACATGATTTCATACCTTTTAAGTAGAATGTTGTGATGCCAAGCAATAAATAATATGGATTTTATTTTTAGTGCTTTTTTCATTTCCTTTTTTTTTAAATACAACATAGCATTACATTTTTTATTCTGGCCATATCAAAAATATTATTGTTGTGTTGGTATCAGTCAGAATTTTAGGTAACACTTTATTTTACAGTGTCCTTGTTAAATATGTTACATGTACTTTCCATAATAACAGTAAACTATGCATAATTACATGCAACTAACCCTCAACCAAATCCTAATCCAACCCTAACCCTATAGTAATTACAAGTAGTTGATTAATATTACTCAGTACTTAAATGTATAATTACACTGTAACAATGACAACTTAAAATAAAGTGTAACCGAATTTTAAAATCAGTTCATTCCTTATATGGGTAACTAAAGTCTGGGTTCGAAGTGTCATACTCTATAACAAATAACAAAAAACAAAAAAAAATGTATCAAATTTGAATAAAGTAAACCCTAGCAGGTGAATTATAAACATTAAAATAGTCTAGTTCCAGTACATGTTTGAGTGCTAAACTGTCAACAAGTCTTAAAATCAACAACATAAAATAGCATCTAAGACTATGACCTTGACTCAATGCAAACCTGGAAAGTAAAAACAATCATAAACTCAACTGTTGGATCCACATGGTTTCTGAGCGTGCTCTGCTCCCAACGCTCTAAAACGTGCTGAAGAACCTCCTCTTCCTCCAGCCGCCTCTGCCACGAAACGCAGGACATCCTTTGAGCGAGCGAGGAAGCGGTAAATGGAGAAGTTGGGAATGCTTTACTGAGTTCACCTGCTGAAGATGCGATTAATACCGCGTCCCTGTCTGGCCCACCTGTCACCATCGGCTCCCAAACTAAAACAGCCAATTAGCACGGGCTGGATGATGTCATCCCTACTCGCCTGAATGCCAAGTATGTCTGCGGTGATAGCGCGGCGACTGCATGAGATCACGATTTTTGATTCTGGCAGGCAACAGCAACTGGATGGTTATGGACAACCAACCGAAAGAGGGGAAAACCCGACCTAATCCCTCCTTCCAATCTCACTCTCTCCCTTTCTCTCTCTCTCTCCCGCCTTGTCTCTCACTCCCCACACCCCCCTCTTGGGTGCCTGGAATACTCATCCGTCACCAGTGGTGGTTACTGGGGTGTGAAATTAAATTCAGGAAGGTGCTGCACCCCCCATTCCAATACACAACAAACACACACACTCTCGCACATTCCTGCACACATACGATTTGTGGGATCAGTATGGGACCTCTGGGAGTCATAACGTTGCCCCTGTGGCACTGTAACTGAGCTAATCAAGTCATCAACGACATCTCCTGAGTCCTGACTAATGCAGATGTGACAGGTGACCACAGACTCAACAGAATAACGAACGAACATCAGGGAACCAAAAACGCATGTGATAGAGTTCTTTATGACTACCCAGCAGTATAGAGATGACCTCTGGCCTGCTGTGATGACATCATACTTAGGGAGACATGGATTTATGGCTAAGGAACAACAGGAAGGACCTCACTGAAGCTGTGCGTGACAAGGAGTCAATACTCTTGAAATATATTCCATCAGCTTCCAACATATTCTCCACACGTGGCTGTCTTTGCATACTCACATCCTGGTGTAGCTTCTCAAGGTTCTCCTGTAGCTCATAGAAGTAGCGGGAGGTGATGAGACCCTCGCGGGATTTGTCCAGGCAGTCCCGAGACAGTTCGATGACCTGGTGGTGGATGAAGCTCAGGACGCCGTCAGCTAAAGGCATGACTTTGTCAGGAGCTGATGAGGATATGAAATCAGCCAACCGTTCCTCCATCTGAGCAGTAGCCTGTGGGACAGAAAACCCTAGTTTAACAAAGGCCAAGTAATGGAGAAAAAGAGGCATCCAGCCACCCATAATGCATGACTACATTTAGTCAGATTTATTTATTTTATTTTATGACCACATTTATGACCCATTTTTTCTAAATCCTTTAATTAACAAAATAAAAAAGAAAGTCAGTTTTGTCATTATATTACATCTTTAAACACATTCTGACATAGCTGAGCAGGCTAGAGCAAATGAAAAAAAGACATGCACTATTTTTCTACAGTTATAAAGCAACAGTGAGTGATTTACATATTTATTTATTCATTGTCTGTACACATTTATGCTAATTAATGTCTTTGTTTTCATTTTTTAAAATTAATTTTATTTCGAATATTGCTCATTTATTAACAGAACCATTATTATTTTATTTGTAATTATTATATTACTATTTTTATATTACAGTTATTTTTCAATTAACATTCTGACACCTTAGTATTTATTAACAGTAAATATATGTTTTCTCTTTTCTGTCGCTGTGTGAATTAGTGCTTTAGCAATGTCATTTCAATAAAGTAGTTTAACGTGTGCAAATGAGACTCTGTCCAGTGTATTTGAGTTTTAGACCTCACCTTAGGGAAACGCTCCTTGTAAACATGGTTCATCATGATGATCTCATGGTCAAATGATATGGGTGAGCGTCCAGGGCTGAAGAACAGAATAAATAAATAAAAATAAGTGGAGAAAAGAATCAACAAATGGGACTTACCTTTCTTTTTCTTGCTGATCATATAGTTTCAACCCTAATGCCCTATACCTGTAATCTTATGTGGATGATACACTGGAGCACCTGTATTTTCTGCCAACCTCATTCATGTCAAAATAGCATCTTCAATCAGAGACGCTCCACAGGGAATATTGAGAGATATGGCTTGTGTAGATATACTAGTATGTATGTGTGTGTGTGTGCGTGCGTTTTAGTCAGGGACACAGATTACAGATGCAGCTGGGAGCACATGAGTCACTCCGGTTAGTAAAGGTAAGCTGATCATGTGACCCGAGGATGAGGTAATGCTGCAAGTCGTCATTCGAAGGCTTGCTCTCCCTATTAGCCCACCTGATTGAATAACAACATACTAACCATAGCACATCTGGTCCACCTCCAGGGTTGCTGTTGAGAAATGCACCAACACACACACTTACACACTAAATTGGCTCATCTACAGGTGTGTCAATAACAATATGAGACAGGTGAAAAATATTCTAGTCAAATCTTCAACTTACTTGAGAGCCATTTCAATAAAAAATTACGATCTGACCATGACTGCGGTAAAGGTTAACTCTGACAGAGATTGATTCGCAGCTGAAGGGAGCTGCATTAATAATCACACTGAGAATATTTCTCCTACTGAGTGAGGTAGAGAGAAAATACGAGGGAAAACGAACATGCCTTGGAGCGATCCTCTACTTTTATTAAATAAAGAATTTACTGTGTGCACAGAATCAATGTGAACCTCCTGCGGCGCAATAACATTCTGCATTCAGACAGATGATAATTAGTGAATGTAATTATTTTTCTCTGATGGATGCAGAAATGTCCTTGCAGCCCCCAAAATCATCATGTTTTTGAGAAATGACCTTGAAAAAAGATTCTAGTTATAGTTTTGAGCCACATGGATTTAATTTAAGTAATGTTCTGTGCAGGAACATAATGGAAATAATGGAGGAAATAAAGAAAGGACAGCTATTCATATACGATTTGTTATGGGAGAAAAGAATGTAGTGTTTGGGTTGCTATAAAAAGAAAAACGATATATTCTACACGAAAAGCAAGTATGTAGTATGTCAAAATATTCAGTATTTACAAAATAGAAAGCGGACAATACCCGGATCACCTACTACTTCCGTTATAGATTCTGATGTGCACTTTACCATCCCAAAGGTGGAGAACAGAGAAGTGACGTCAAAGGTTACGTGACAATGCAAACACGGCAGATTTAAATGTTTTTGAAAGAAATATTTTATGCTCAGCAAGGCTGATCAAAAATACAGTAATATCAGTAATGTTGTAAAATATTATTACAATTTAAAATAACCACTTTTTATTATTATTTATGTACAAATATATTGAAATAAAAAGTAATGTAAAATTCTTAATTGAATTCATTAATGTTCAAGAATTTCATTAAATAAAGTGTTCATAAACATATTTTGTCTCAGGAAACTGTTATTTGTCACTCGCATTACACTGGTTTGGACACAGCTTTACAATGAAGGACAAAATATGAATATTGGTTTCAGTAACTGTAAAAATTAAAAGTTATCTGAAAAGAATGTGAAGACTAACCGAGAGAGATGCTATCACATGGAACAAAAGAGAAACAAAGGAAGGGACAGCCAGAGAGAGAGGGGAGAGGATGAGTGTGTGTAAACGTGTCACAGTTGAGCACAGAAATGACCTCTAAATCCCTCCGAGGTGCTGGAAACCAGGGAAATCAGCTAGTTAATTGGCCGTGACAGAATGGTCTGCACTAACACAAACACACACAATCGGATGACATCACCAACAAAGCCATAGACACCGTCATAGTCATTTTAGACACATTCTGATATATTATGCATGTTAATTTAAAAAAAAGAAATGGCTTGGCTAGCCGGAAGGAATCCAGAATGTGTCCGTTGTATTTTGGCACTGAGCCCTTTATTAAAATAATATTCTAATTTCCAGCTACTGCTACCAAACCATTTGACATATGGATGATGGATGGTGACCATTGCACATTGAGCTCATTACTCATCGACTGTGTGTTTGAGTGAGTTAAAAGATGTAAAGAGGAAGAATGATGGAGAACCGTAAGTGAACTCTGCATGAAGAAGCGTCGCTGTCAATTCTCTCAGCATGTCTGCTGTCCAGGGCGTGAAATTAGCATAATATTGCTACTTTTCTTCGTCTCTAATTAACCAGTTTGAGCTTGACTGCAAATCCCCTCAACCTCCTCCCTCATCCAGTCTTTTCATCCTTCTCTCCCTTCTTTCAACAGTAGAAATGGATAATCCTGGGAAGCGATAATCTGTAAAATGTGGCAACAGCAAACCTCACTATCTCATCCAATATTTATGGATCTAATTCTGGAGTGCTGAACCCCCTGCTGAGTGTGTCTAGATACTAAAAGAGGCAAGGCCAGTGTTTCCTGAAGAAGTCATCTTAACAGAAAAAGAGAAAGAGCCAAAGGGGAAGGAGAGCGAGGAAGAGAGATGTGTTTACAGATAAGAAGCTCATGAAGGAGGTCTCTTTCTTAGCGTTCAGGAGGAAATGATTTAGTCTCTCAGGTCCTGGGCAGAAGTTTGAATGACTACTAGAGTCATCATTCAACTCTACTGCAGAAAAAAATGGATAAGAATAATTCAGGTCACATTGCACAAGAAAAAAAGAAAACATTTCACAAAGACTTTAAAGCCTATTGTAGGACTATTTATTTATTTATTTATTTATATATATATACATACATACATATACAGTGCTTAACATTTATTAGACCATCACCCAATGCAAGGTTTGTGCAACAGCTGCCCTAAACTAACAGTATTAGTGATTACCAAAATTAATTTTTATGTTTCTGTAATGGTTAATCCACCAGTATGTGTAAAGCTCTTTAGTCACAGTTGGCCAAGTCAAAGTCCGGACTTGAATCCTATTGAACAAATTTTTGATTTAGTGGATTCAAAATAGATCGCACAAAAGTGTCTTCAAAAGCAAATCTTTGAGAAAAACTAGAAACTATTTGGAATAATTCCAATAACAACATAGACTGTGGAAAAGTACAGTACATAAAAACAATGCCAGCAAGAACGCAAGCTGTTATCAAGGCCAAAAGACGGCATACAAAATATTACGTTTTGTGGTTATTATGTGAGAAATAAAGACATTTTTAGTTTTAAATAAGTTTTTGACAGATTCCTAATTATATTTATCTTTATAATGACAGGTGGTCTAATAAATTGGTTAAGCACTGTATATATGTATTTGATAATTTTAGGGTATTATTTTCATGACAACTATGGACATTTCTCGTCTATCGTGCTCATCAACCATGACTGATCTGGACATTCAACCTCTGAGTTTTTTTTTGTTTGTTGTTGTAATTTTCATTATTCTTAGTGGTGACTCCTATTACTCATTACTGTAATACAGTTTTTTTTGTTATTAAATCAGAATGAAGTCAGTAAAACAAATACTACATAAAAAAATAGAATTATTATTTTACAGTTATATGATTTTGTTTTTTTGGTTTACAGTAATGAGAATTGGTGGAAATAATGGTCATTCAATTAAATTTACATTTCATTTCAAATTTACAATTTGGATTATTCTGGGGTTAAATATGACATGGACATTTTATTGAAAGGCAGAGAGAGGCATGAAGAAGATGTGAAGGCAGAGGAGTGAAGAGGCGTCAATGTGAAGGACACAAAGGCTGAATTATTTGTCTTCTACCTTAGAGAAGGGAGTTAAGAGTCTAGAGAATGAGGTGGCAGAGTCCTGTCAGATCTGAAGATTTGGCCTTTAAGAGTGAGTGAGTGAGTGAGAGCCTGAGGGCCCAACTGACATCACACACACTCACAACGTCATGTTCACTTGAAAGGCAACTTTTGATTACTGTGAAATGGGAATCTGAAAGTGTTTGTACCTGAGACTGCGGGAGCGCGGTCGCATGGCTGGCGATCTTCTCCCGTCCTCATCCGTGATGCTCTCTGAGCTGAAGTGTTTGGTGAGGAAATGCAGCTCGTCTGCAGTGGGCTGGAAGGGCAACTGGTGCAGCTTCTCCTGAGATGAACATGATGACTGTGAGAAGCAGAGAGGGAGGGATTACAAGGACAGAAGGCATTGCATAGGCTGCCCTGACTCTCAATCAACCATTTGTTTGCCGAAAAGTTGTTGATTGTTAGTCTTTGCAAATAAATTGTCCTCAAAATATTCAGGCCAAATGGGAAAAATATTGCAAATAAATAAATACATTTATTTAACTATAATTTATAGCTTTCTTTTTTTTCCTCTAAAATAAATAAATAATAAAACTATGAGAAAATGTCCAGGTTATATTTCAAGTTAAATAAAACAAAAATAAGTTACTAGTGACATTATTTAACTTCTTATTAATTTAATACAAAAAAAATAATAATTCTTATAACTATATTACATGATGATAATTGCCATTAAAATAATATGGCATAGCAAAAAATCTTAATGACCCTAACAATAGGCTTTATTTTCATTATAATATATTTTTTTATTTCTGGACATTTCTTAAGAGTCTTTTGTGGATTTTGACATTTAGTTCTTAATCAGTAGATTTTTTCCCCTTATGTTTCGAGTTGAATAAAATCTCTGCAGCCTTTAGAATAAAAATTTGGGCTGAACTAGAAAATGTATTTTTATCTTTCTGCAGAGACTTTAATGGGGCTTGTGCGGTTTGAACTGATTCCCCAATGAAAGCAGCAGTCAGACTGAGTTACAGTCAATTTTCGGGGACAGAACTCTTCTGAAGTGAATGCATTGATATGAAGCTACTGGCTTTACTTCAGGCTAAGGGGACCTGCTTTGTGCCTAGAGTTTATCTCACTGTAGGGTCAATAGGATAAACCTTCCGGGCAAGTTAAGGCTTGGGATCAAATGCAATACCAAACAGTGAGGCATATATCTGGGGGTTGATACAACACGGAGGGACTACAGAAAGAACATGAGCACAAACACACACAGATACTCACCGAGACTGTTGAGCTGGGGGTGTTGGTTCCATAGCCAGAGGACGGCAGAGAGGCGAGAGACCAGCGACGACCATCCGTCCTAAAAGTGTGGATGAGGGGAAAGGTGAAAATCTCGTCTTGACAAATCACTGCTGATATTCTTGCAAGTATCAGGACCAGTAGAATTACATAGCACTAGAAGCATTCAGACGAACAACAATAAAATCACACAATCACAGCAGAATAAAGCACCACAGATTAAAATGTCCACAAAAACTGACATTTGAACAATAAACAATGACGATGATTATTAAATTCAACTGCAGTTAAATAAGGCTTGCATATGAGAGCCATTTAGCATCTGTGATAATGGCTAAGCTGCCCATACAGTAACTTTCTTTTATTTCAGATAATGCATCTGAAGCCTTTTCATGCAGATCAAATAAATAGCACAGTGTGAATTCACCCAACGTGGCATGATGGCTTTTAGCACACAACAGCAACACGTTTGATATATCATTCAAGCACATAAATCAATGATGAATGATATTAGAAATTTAGCAGAGTAAGGACACAATGAATTTTGCATAATCTATTTGGCCCCTGATTACAATGTGCAAAACATACACAAGACATTAATAATTTTAATAATCACAGGTACAACTGTAGCAAATAAGACATTAAAAAATACAGTAACATTTTAAAGTCTGGGGTCAGTAAGATTTTTTTTTAAAGAAATTAATTTAGCAAGGATCCATTAAATTGATCAAACGTGACACTAAAGACATTGTTTAAGAAATTCAATGCTTATTCATCAAAGAATCCATCAATATGAAGAGTTGTTCATGTCAAGTTCATATCAAATTCATGTAATGTTTGGTTTTCACAAAAATATTAGGCAGAACAATGTTTTTCAAGATTGATAATAAGAAGAAATATTTCTTGGGCAGTTAAATTAGCATATTCAAATGATTTCTGAAAAAATCATGTGACACTGAAGACTGGAGCAATCGCTGTTGAAAATTCCCTTTTGCTATAACAGGAATAAAATGCATATTAAAATATAAAACAGTTATATTAAATTGCAATAATCTTTCACAATATTACTGTTTTTTATGCAGAGACGTTCAAAAACATGATCTTACCAACCCCAAACTTTTGAATGGCAGTGTACATCTTTAATTTAAATAATTTTGATATGAAAATATTGCACAAGAAAACATGTAGCCAACATTAACCACGTTTACATCTTTGAATATATATATAGAGAGAATATTTATAATTTAATTTATGCCAAGAAACTTGTGGAATATTTTTGAAGATTGTATATCAGTTCTAAGCACACAGTCAAGCTGAACGAGTTGGGATGATTAATAATTTATCATTCCAATACATAAATTAAGTTGTCTGAGATGTTTTTAAACACATCTGACAGTCAGCTCTAATGAAATGGAAACATGTTGTTTGATGTAAACAGCCATGCTAAAAGCAGACACAGGAAATGATGTTGTAAGGGAGGCGGGGTAATCATTACCTGTCAGCCCTGTGTCCATGGCTGTATGGAAGAGAGTACAGCATTAAAAAGAGATGCTACTGTGAAGGCATCTGATCTAATGTGCATCTTTTACTCTTTCATGACCCTCACTCACACTAGCAGATTCAGCTCTGCCTTACGGTAAATGTGGAATTCGTATACACCCGAATTGGATTCTTGTCTTTAAAGTTATTTTGTAACATTATTGTGCTGTACTTTGTCCATTAGGTGGCACTGTTGGTCCATGAGCGATTTGGACTGGATGACTCAATGGTCTTTGCTCTATGGCTGAAATTCAAACGAATCCTTTTAATTAAGCCTGGGGTCATCAGCTCTGTGTGTTCTCTCACAGTTGTTAAAGCATTACCATCTTTTGCTGCTCAATTACCAATTCAGATTTACTCATTAACATTCTTGGTGTCATTATTCAGAGCCACAGTGAAGGATTATGGGATATTACAAATATATTGAAAGTGGGGTGCTTAATAACCAGCAGATGAGAGGCAAACTATGACAACATTATTTGCAAGATGAGCAAAGAGATTACTTGCTCAGTACTTGCTCAAACACGATAAAGACTGTACATTTTTTTTTTATTAGAACTTACCTCACAGAATGTGAAATATTTTACAATTAAATGTTTTGTTCTATAAGATCCTGATAAACTGTGACTCACCTGCGAGCTGGCACAAAAGAGAAGTGGGCCGCAGTGTTAGGGGAGAAATTGCGTGGACTGTCCAATGGGCTGGATCCTGAAAAAGAGCAAAAACTTGACATTTAGGGAATTATTCACAACAATTAAGCTCAACTACCTATGATCAGGCCAGACTGGTACAAATAACTACCGGGAAAAAAAGCACAGACTTCATACTTCAGACCACTAGGAGGCATATCATGCCCATCATAAGTAAACATAATTGCCCTACGGTTCTTAACTCTTCTTTTCTGCTTAAATCTGTCCCCTCTATTTTATTCATCAAAGCCCTTTTAAGATAACAAAACCCTTTAGAAGAGTGGGCTTCTTATGTAGGCTGTGTTGAGACCAGAGGTACAGGGATAAAACACACTTTGATCACAGGTCTTTTCTAGTCTCCTGCACAGCTCTGAGAATAGATTAATGCGTAGAATGTGAAGCACTTACGGTGTTTAAGTGCTTTAGAAAACAGGGCCCCTTAAAAATGCCTCAAGTAGAGTGATATTTCAAAATGAATGTTATAAAATGATTTGCAGACCATGAGCAAAGAATCCTTTATTGATTAACTGATTAGCTCAAATTCATATTCAGGCACTTTTGCTAAAACATACTCTTTATTTCTATTCCAGTGGTATTTAAACGGCAAGAAGATTTCATAGCCTGAGCTCACAGTATGATATATTTTTAAGTCACAATTTAGGATAGATTACATAGAGCATAGCTTATAGATTAAGACATGCATAACTGCTATGACTAATACTACTAGAAAAAAAGTTGATCTAAAAATCACTATTCCAAGTCATGTGTGAATTAAGAAGCACAGATCCAGGCATAATCAATCAATCCAGTCAATCCGAGCAACGGGGTGTTCCTATCTGGACTGTCTAGTACAGCTCGAGTCACAATCCCCCATGCATTAATCATGCATTAATGCATTCGTCAAGCGGCCTGTGCCAAATATGAAATATTAATGAGAGCATAATTCTTTGTCAGGAAGTGACTGTAGGAACAGCTGCGCACAGCTGGACTGGGACACGGAGCAGTGTGGATCTGTCACGGAGATGCATTCATTTCAAGGAGAATCCCATCACGGAGAGTGTAGGAGAAGCCATAATGGTGTGCTACACAGCGAAACATCTGCTTATTTTTCATCACGAAAACTGTAGAGGATGAAGGGTTAGCTGAAGAGAAGCAGACTCTTTCTCATACGATACACAGCTGAGAGAAGAAAACCAATCAGCACCCTGTTGAATTACACATGCTACGTTCACACCACAGCTGGATGTGTACGGATCAGTTTTTTGGATGATAGTGTGAAAATCACAGAATCTTGTGTGAAAATCTTGTTTTCATGTGTGAAAATAAACAGCATACTAACAGATTTTTAAAAATGTGACTTCATTATGAACACTGAGGAATAAATGCAACGTTTTCGTCAATCTAACTCGACATCCTTTATAACTGCATGCTTAATTTATCCTTAGATCATTCATAATATGAATGTATATATTGCACAGAAAAATACAAAATAAATACAAAATAAAAAAACAATTAAATAATATTCTATATAGATCAAATATTATTACACTTTGATAAATATTAAAATACTAATGCTAATGAATAAACTTATAGTAAATAAATGTTATTAGAATTTATAATAAATGAAATCACATACAATTATACAATAACATTTATGAATAAAATAAATTTATTTGTATTAAATAAAGAAAGAATAAGGTTTAAAACTTACAGAGAGGAAAATTAAGAGCTGGAATTTACAAATGATGCTGGATAATTGCCATGACACCAGGCTTTGCTTTTAAGCTGGTAGCAGGACACCAAAAACAGTGCTGCTAGTGCTACATATCCGGTTAAACATATATTTAAAAATCAGATGTTTTGTGATCTTCATTTTTTTCCACATAGTGATCAATTACGTTCTATACAGATCAATCTAATATGCTTACTGAAACAGCAGCATCACAGTAGTAGTGAGTGCTTTCCAGTTCTTTCAGATCTATTTGTCTTAAGTGTAATGACTAAGTGTAATGATTCACAAAGCACTGAGTGCAGTATTTAATTCTTGTGCTGCTGGTGTCATAACCTGGCAAACAGCTTCCTGAAACAGACTGTAATGGGTGCAGTGTAGCAGTGCATACCCTCTGTTGATTGTGCTCAGTTGAGTTTGAAATAATTTAGCCTCCGCAGCTTTTGTTGGCAGTCACATTAAAATGCGGCTAATGGCTTTGAAGTGCTTAAAATGAAGCAGCATTTGGGTTTATGTTCCCTTTTAGATTTAAATATTGCAAGCACACAACTGCAAGTGATGCAGTATGGACAAAAACAAACAATGATTCCTCATGTGATTTATATCAGGACAGAGCACTTCAAAGTACAATATTAATATAAAAACCCTGAATCTTTATTCTACAATGCTAGTGTGGTGAAAAAACTAAGCTTTTGGTTGTCTCTATACGCACTGTACTGTGTGTGCTGATGGTTTAATCCAGTAATTCAGTGAGAAGATGGAGTTGACAAGCCGACGTCAATGATTAGGACTGCAGCACAGTATTTACCATTTTAAGAGCCCGGCTGAACAGTGTGAGCTTGATCTGAGCGCTTTATGTGTGCTCATGACTGGAGATCAGATTTAAACACACAATCAGTCATCTCTTTAATCTCTCTCTCCACACACACATACACACACGCACACATGAGAGAAAGAGAGAGAGAGAGAGAGAGAGAGAGAGAGAGAGAGAGAGAGAGAGAGAGAGAGAGAGAGAGAGAGAGAGAGAGAGAGAGAGAGAGAGAGAGAGAGAGAGAGAGAGAGAGAGAGAGAGAGAGAGAGAGAGAGAGAGAGAGAGAGAGAGAGAATACCTGCTGGCTTTGACAGCTGATCTCTCCATTTCTCTTTCATGCTCAGGGGATACACCCACCGGAGCAGCAGCACCTTTACTAAGTGTTTTTTCACCAGCTCCAGCTTTATTAAAGCATTACCTGTTGTAGTATATAAAGTGGATCTATTTACTTCAGCGGAACCACTCCCCTAGCTACTGAGTTTACCTATAGGTTATCCGCTGATGCATTGATACTGTGTCATTGTTTACCGATGAAGCTAAGTAAAGGCACGTTCATTTTACCTCCGAGTTGAATCCTTTATTCTAATATACTATGTTGGGGTAAAGACACAACAATTGGCGACGAGTAAACCGGACCCTAAACAACTGCACGAAATGAAAAGTTAAACCGGAGGGAAGGAGAAAGGAGAGGAAACGAAACCTAGCAAAGGATCCGCGAGTAACAGTGCATAGCACACAATGAAAGGATAAACGGATAAGATCTGGATTTCATGTCCGAAATGGCTTACGTTGGAAAAATAGAGGAGTTTGATAGTTCAAGTGAAGACTGGGAATCATACATAGAGCGAGTGGAGTTATACTGCGCTGCCAATGATATCGAGGATGCAAAAAAAAGTTCCGTCCTCCTCAGTCTAATGGGAGCTAAAACTTAGGCTGCGTTCCAAACCGCATACTTCCCTACTATATAGTATGGGAAAAAGAGTAGGCGAGCGAAAAAGTATGTATGAATCCAAAAGAGTAGGCGAGAATTACCTGGGTGACGTACTAATTATCGCGAGATTCGGACTTAAGTGCGTTCGAATATGCCTACTTTCCTACTATATAGTAGGCGAAAACAGTACGTGAAGGAAGCAGTACGTTCGAAACATCAGTATTCATAAAAGAGTAGGCGAGAAGTTCCCGGATGGCTTACTGCTTCCGGCCCGATTTTTGAGTGCTGTCCGATGCGTACTCTTCTATCCCAGGAGGCCACGCGAGAGCATACGTCATTATCAAACATCATCACGGAGATCAGCGACGCGGGGCTTTCCAAATGTGAGTAAACACGGTTCCTTATGTGTTAAACTACTATAGAGTAAACGTTTTAACTGTTGAAGGTGTAAAGTAGTTAGACAGTATAGTATAGTTGTGATTTTGCTGTAAAAACATGTTTTGTATAGCTAGCTAACAGGGGAGCTCTAAGCACACGTACGTAACGTCTCTAAAGTGGATTTACATAACCATATACATCTTAAACACGCTTATTTAAAATGTCTATTTAGACCTGAAAGGAAAATATTGTAAGTATTGACATATTGCAGATGAGCACATCACAACATGAAAAATACATCTGATGTATGTGTGGCATTATTTTAGGATAACGTTAATTCACTGTTGTCAACACTGTTGACATTAGACAAATGTGCTGTAAATAAGGTAAATAAACAAATCTATAAAGTAACTAAACATGTTTTTATTCAGACTGGTGTGAGCACTGAGGATGAGGAGCCCAGAGCTGAATCCTGGAAACGGTGCCATGGATGAGACGCTCCATCTCTCCACCGGCCCTTATCGCCTCAGATTGTGAAGCGCAGCGCAGCAACACGCTCCGGCACGAAGGCACGGTCACCTCTGGTGAATTCATCAGAGTAAAGCCGCAGAATGGGAACCGCTGTGTTGAGATGGAAGTATGTGGGGTTCAGCGCCTGTAAATACATGCTTGTAGTTTGAATAAAGATTTGTTTCATGTGTTGTTGAATTGTATATGCATTTGTTTATTGTGTGATGGTTACTTTTATTTGTTCTTTTACTCATTTATTCATGTTTCTTATTGTTGTCAGTATATAAAATATAATTATTTAATGTATGCATTAATTCATTGCTTGACTGACAATTGAGATGTTCACGTGTATTCATGCATAACTCATATGACAAAACAAATTACATTTTGCTTGTTTTATTAAATTATATAATTTTTAGTATATAAAAAGTAATATAATTAAGTATTGGTCAGCATTTAATATTATTTTGTTTAAGTTTTGGGGTGGGCTAACAATGCAATTCATTCTAAGGTAATATTAATTTTTAAGGAGCGATACTTACATTTTTCGAGTATAAAGTCAACAGTTTTCTCCAAAGAAGGTCTTCGAGCAGCGGCCCGTCTCCTTGTGCAGACATTACAAACGCAGAGGAAAACTGTTCTAGGTTGTGCTGTCGAGTT